TGGAACCCAATACATCCAACTTACTTTTAGCTCGCGCCGTCATTCGTCGACAATCGTCGTTGGCAAACACGATTTCGCTGTTGGTGTTCCTGACAAGGATTTTCCTAAAGCGAGCTGAATTTCTTTTGATAATGTCTCTGATATTTCCACACGTGTCTATTTCTTTAGCGTTTGGATAGGTCTGTCCTGGTCCGATCGATCGAAGTGCACCGTAGACATATATTTCTTCGCTGATAAATCCCAACAGAAGAAGTTTAAAAATCGCCGTTGTCATGTTGTACAGCTTGATTACGGATGGTATCAGAGCAATATTGGAAAACTTCGATTCAAATGCAAGGTTTAAATGTCCGATTTATGGTGAAACGCAGATTTCTATGAAATGTTCAAACAAGGTAGATTGCTTTTGTGAGTTGAGGAACTGTCTTGCAGTATAGTTGCCAAGGATCTGCCCCTAAAGTGTAACACTATGCGGTATTTATACAAAATGCAAACAATAGGTGATTAACCTTTGGTTATTCGCACAGTTCCTAATTTCATGCGTCAGCCAAATTCCTTTTATGGACAAGGCTTCCGCTAGACTATTTGTACTCGTGTGACAACCTCTCCTGAATTTGAAAAGTAAAGAACAAAAGCTTATAAGCAGAAGGAAAAAAAATTGTATGAGTGAAGCGAAACCAGTGACACGTGTTGGATCTGTTTCAAAATGTATTCAACTCGAAAGCGATTCTCCAAATATGGTTCCTGGGTCAGTCCTACGCTAAAAGTGTTGTTTCTACATCTCGTGATTCTAGGCTACAGGTTGCGACACGAATTTAACGCCCAATTCCGGTTATAACCACTGCACTTGACGGACGTGTCAACAAACCGAAGTTATAAGGAAAACAATGGATCTGGTTTAGAAGTCACGATGTGATTACTCAATCATTTAGTCCATGACGATTTCAATTCTAACCCAAAACCTTAGAAATAGAAGGTATCCAATTTAGAAATACCTAAATAACAGGTTTAAAAACCAGCTTACTAAATCCTGCTGATTTCTAGAAGAAAAAGATATATATCCCCCCGGCGGAGACTGGATGACAAACCGTAGAAATGACGTTCGTTTTAAGAACTGGTCGCGTTTCATAAAATCTAGGGTACAGGGACGTCACAATCCACAATCATGCTAGACTTAAGCTCCATTTGCGCGACCTGTTTCCTCCGAGAAGACTACTAGAAAAGAGAGGGGAAAATAGGCCATTATAAACAGTTTCGAAAAGGGAGACCCGGTGAACAGGAGACAATTGCGTTCATTGGTGTGTTTGAATGGACTTTTCTGCGTTACCTAATCCTTTTGTTTTAGACGTTCAATCATACACTTTTTGCATATATTAGTTCATAACTTACCTTGTTTTCGTTCGCTTAAATAAGTTTTAATTTTAATCCTCGGCGTGTGCGGTACGAATCGGAACTTCTTGGACTATCCCGTTTTACGAACTGCACGCTACCAAGGCTGGGTCAACCTCGTTCCCAAGACGAATGGCAAAAAAAAAGACACAATTTATCTACAGGGTTTTTTAAATTTAATTCTAATCGAAGAGTTTAACAAAAGATCGAGCCGATCGAACAAAATGGAACTCACAGAACAGTTTCGGGAAATGTGATCCGAGATTAACGTTCGATTTTGAAAACCTAACGGTTTGGAATTCAATCGGCCTTATCTCTAACTTTCCCACAGTGCTCTACTATTTTGAAAACACGGAAATTCACTTTCCAGCTCATGACACACTTAGATTTTGAGTTTTTCGCTTTTCGAAACCATTGTTTTAGAACTTACGAGATTCCGTCTGAATTCGATCATTAATTTAAGCCGGAGAGATTACGAAGATTCTTCGGTCAGCTCGTTTTCCCAGGCATTCTGTGTTTGCTAAATTCCGGCACCTTTTCGGGAAACAGCCGGCTGTAAACAACGCGAAGATGTATAATTGAAATATTGAAGTGTAGGCGAGCAGTTTCTAATAATTGACTGTGTTTCTTCCTAGAGTCTGCCCCACCCCGTGCTAATAGTACGTCAACACTACGGGAATCGGTCGGAATTAATACTTTTCTTTTGGGTTAGGATGTGAGTCGGGTCAGTCCCCGCGAGAAAAAGAAATGGGCGAGGAAAATCCAATACTGAATGTGAGCGGAAATTCGCATGTTCAGACCGTATCGGAAGAACAAGAATAGCAAATGATTAACACCATTTTTGCTTAGAATTCTTTTATTTTGTTTTATTTATTTATTTATTCATTCATTTATTCATTTATTTACTTATTTATTTACTCATTTATTTATTTATTTGTTTATTTATTTTCTAGGATTTTCCCCCACTGGCAAAATTAAGAACCACTCTAGGGAGCACCTGTCTTGGGGGTGAGACAGGTGTCTGATGATAGGTCTCGTCGAAGCGCATCTTAGCCAGAATTAATAACCTTATATAGGCTGACGAGCTACATTTGAGTCAGGTCTCTGCTTTGATGATTGAATTAACCCTTCGAGCTTCAGATATGCTGTGTTTGAAATGCAAAATACCGGGCCGAACCGAGGCTAGCTTAAAAAAACATTGGTCGACTGAGGCATTGTCGAAAATGTCTGCGGTTCTATTTTGTCTCATTCGTTTAGTCAACATCATGTATACCTGTCGTGTAAATGAAATGTGGGTGTTTTTTTAAATTAATATTTTAAAATTGGTATTAAAAACAGACCGAGTTCGATACGAAGAAGTTGGGAATTCTTCAGGTCAAATGTGACCAGTAAACGAGGGCGTTTTATCAAACCTAAATAACTTACCGAAAACAATTTCACTTCATGTACTAGCGTCAACGTGACACTTCTTCTAGTCCTGACCACACTGACCGTTCCATTTCTCGCAATAATTGTGTCATCGCTGTGTACATCAATCAAAATTGACAGATGTCGTTCGCATTATCCCGCTAAAAATCTGATTAGCCGGCTCTACGTTCGGGAAAACCCTGGGTAAAATCTATTGACAAAATTAACGGAAGTTCGTCATTATCGGGTTGGTCAACGACACAGACTGTAACGTAGTAGATTAGTTACAGCTGATCGATCTGGGAAGTTACTGTCTGCACGGTTGCTTTCCGGGTTTCTGCTCCCACAGGCGACAACTTCCCGCCGGTAGGGAACGGTTCGTGGGCGTGAATGAACCAGTGAGGATGGCTAATCCAATGCCTGGTGTGAGAGCTTTTTCGCCAAAATGAAAAGAACCTTTTACGATCTGACAGGTTTCGTAAAATTTTAGACCCTAGATCTGTAGGGGAAAATGTTCTATTAAATTCGATTCCATTCTGTCCAACTTTTCTTACCTCGTATCTACGTACTGTGTATACCCTCCAGTTTGAAATTTGCAGCATCATTAAACTGCGTGACTGTGGGATATTTTTGGATATTTTTGGGATTCTTATCCCACTCTTCCGCCGGTATTAAATTAAATTATTTTGGGATGGTCCAGACCAGGATGTACGCATCTCCGAGCAGCTGCATTTCTGGTGCAGTCACAGCTTTCATTCACAATGACTGGGTTGTTATTTGTTTAAAAACATTACCTTTATACTTTGATTTTCTAAAATAGTATAAACAAAGAGGTAAGAAATATTTAAGGGTCAGAAATCAGTAACAAGAGCAGTTGTTGACATCTTAGTCAGTTCAGTCCATGTATCAGTTTCAAAGTTGCTATTTCAATCAGGTTTATGTGAAAGTTTAGGGCTAATCCGATTATCGTCCTTTTACTCAGTTTATATATCTTTTAAGAAATTAGATTACTTACTTTAAGCCTCTCTGTCTTAATATAGACAGTTCAATTCGTAATGAAAATGTTTCACGTTCAGCTATGTAACTGCCGTTTGAGGCTTCAACCTGAGGTATGAAGGCCAAAATTTAGCCGTCAGGTGAAAAAATGGGAAAATTTTAACTGTGAGCCTTAAAAAATGTTAACTGTAAAAAAACGTTTAGCAATGAAAGTGAAAGGCAAATCTCATGTGGAATCATTAGAATGAGACGTTTTAAAGAAAAATGATTTTACCCTCAAACACTCGTGTGCTTGCGTTATGTGTCGAGTTATGGGACACACTAAAAATACTCGGTAAAACTGAGGTCAGGAACATTTTCATCGCAAAATGTGTTACGTTTGACGCTGGCTTCGAGAAAGCGTTACGTAATGAGCGACTGGTCTTTTTATGAAACTGCACTAAAGAAACAGAAACTGTATAGGTCCCAAATAAAATCATGCAGTCATCATCAGAGGACAGATAGAAAAAAAAACTCAAATTAAAGTTGTTTCTAAGCTTTTGATTGATAAAAAGTCTGTATACGGAGCCAAGTTGCCCATCAGGCCGTACCTTATCCCTCTTTCTATGGCATTAAGCGACTAGGAGTATTTCAACTCCCCCCTGGATGGGATGCTAGTCCATCGCAGGGTTAGCCCCAGCATTAAATTCGCCGGTACCCATTTATACACCTGGGTGGAGAAAAGCACTGTGAGAGTAAAGTGTCTTGCCCAAGAACACAACACAATGTCCCCGGCCAGGACTCGAACCTGGACCGCTCGATCCGGAGGCCAGCGCACTAACCATGAGGCCCCTCCCACTAATCGAAATGTTCGTTTCTAACATTTATTTTTTCCAGAAATCCAGAGTGAAACCTTTATTGCAGTTGTAGCATATATGGCATCCAGTAATTTGAATGCCATTGAGGACCGTACCTCTCTTGGCTGGATAGTTCGTTGGTGATTTGTTCCCCGCCAGTTATCAACCGATAGGTATCTCGAGGTCGCGATCTTGTAGTAAATTGATTTTTTTAATATCTTCAAAAGTTCTGCTAAGACTACAACTGTTTACTTCAAACTGAATTCCTTGAGTTAATCACTGATTGAAACACTCGTCATTATCTTATCCCTAAAAGGTATACATAAGAATGGAACTCTGTGTGAGCCATTCAAACTAAGAAAGCATTAGTACAAATTGATTTGTTAGAACATTCATTGCTGAACTGACTTAATACAATTGCTATTAAAACTACAGAAAGTTAAAAGAAATTAAAAGCCAGTCAATCAGTCTGTGAGTCAATCATTTAATCAATCAATTAACCAGTCAGTCATTCAAACAGTCAATCAATGAACCAACCATTCAAACACGTCCTGCGTGCCAAGTTGATACAGGACAACGATTAACGATACAACTGCACTGCAGTCAAATCTGCACAGAATAGTATCTGTTTGAGCGGTTTTCAAATGAGTGTCTTGAAACTAAAACCAAAGTAATCACTCTACCCAATCACAAAAGACACCGACAATACGGTAAACCAATCAAAACTCGACTGAGTAACTACGTGCAGCTGACGGAAAGCGCGGGAAAACGTGCGCGCGTAAGTTACCATTGGTTTTGGTTTTACTTCTGATTGGATGAAAAACTGGCGCCAATTTTTTAAGTCAGTCGGAAAGCGCAGTTGATGCGAAACCAATTTCTTTCTGACACTCAAATGAAAACCGCTCTCTGGGAAATAAAATGCCTTATATACCTTAAAATCCAGATTAAAATAAGGGGACTAAAACGATACACTGTTATTTATATTTTCTTAAAAAAATTCTTACAGATCATGAACAATTTTGAAGGTCTGGATTCATTTATTCAGTATAAAATTAATTAAAAACAATTTACATTAAAGTACTTTATATTTTTTTTCTCTAATTAATTAAGTTTCGTCGCCAGGAACATTCTAACATCTAAGCTTTAAAATGATATTAAAAACTTTCTTCTTTTTTTTTTTTACAGATCGAGACAGTTCAAAGTTGACGGACTAACATATTTATTTTTACAAATTAAGTCACGGTTTCATGTATGTAGAAATTTTAAAATCGTATTTTATTAATTGAGAGATTGATTCAATTTCATTCAATCAAAATAGGAAATAAAAAAGTGGTTTTCACAGAAATTGTAAGTTTGTAAGTATATATTCATTCGTTTTCATTAAATTCGATACTTTCACGTTTGATCCCCAGCAATGTAAAGAATCTGAATGTGAACATAACATACTGAGAACAGTAGCTTCCATACTCCTTTCAATCAGCTAATTATATGCCAAACAAATCAACGGTAAATCACTGATTCAGTTTCACGTCTGATCAAGAAACAGCTCGCAAAGCCGATATTAAAGTTCCTCGTTGTCGATAGCCTAGCATTTTCATGTTCATATCTCCCTAAGAAGCTTCAACAGCGCTTGGTTTTCTATTCTTCATCACAATGTCTCCAAACCTGTAGATAAGCTTCTGTCCTTCCTCGTGGAACATAATTTGACGGTCGTAGTAATAACGCAGCGCCCGACTCAACTTCTCGTAAGTCATGTTTCGTTTGTTTTTCCGCTGTCCCCACAGTTTGGCTGCAAGCTTGGAGTCGACGAATCTAAAAGTCCCTTCCTCTCTTGAAACCCAGCTAACACAGTTGTTTTCGTTTGTATCGAGAAGCTCCTCGAGGAATTTCCAAAGCACAACTTGTTTCCTCACTAGAAGCATAAAAGATGGCATTTTAATGCAAGTTACAAAGACATCGAGCCGTACTTTCACGTGGTTCTTTATATTGTGCTGTACAAGGTGATTCTAGTTTTAAGTCTGTGGATGGAAATAATACTGGTGTGCGCCTATTGAGCAGTACTACCCATATTGTACTGTTTATTATGCTCTACAAGGTGGTTCTAACTTTTATGGTCGTGGATAAAACCCTAATTTGTGACCATTCAAATGAAAACTATTCAGCAGTACTGTCATTATGTACGCTGTACTGTTTATTATGCTGTACAAGGGCAGTACTTTCATATGGTACTGTTTATTTTGGTGAACAAGGCGGATCTAACTTTACAGTCTGTGGATGAAAGCCTAGTGTGTGACCATTCACATGAGAGCTAATAAGCAATACTTTCACGTGGTGAAAATTACTCCAAATAAAAAAAAAAATTGAACTTTGTCCAATTTCTAGTTTGATACTGGGAGAAGTGGACGTCACAAATGACGAACATGTTAAACGTCTAAGGAATTTCTAATACCTGTTGGCCTGCACGGCTTTGCTGATGATCCCAAGGTAGGGCGGAATGCATAGCGAGAATGGCAGCGACGAGTGCGGCGTTCCTCTAGAAAAAAATAACGAGTCTGAAAAACTGGCAATTACTCTAGGAAGTACTTTAAGCCCAGGGGTATACTCGGATGTATGCAGCCCCGACCCTGAGGATGACTGCAGGCAGGCAGTCAGTCAGTCAGCCACCCAATGAGTCAGTGGGTGAGTGCGTCAGTGAGTCAGACATTCAGTCAGTTGGTCGGTCGGGTAATCCGTCAGTCGGTCGGTTGGTCAGTCAGTTAAACATATGTGGATGTGGAAACATCTCATTTAACTTCAAAGATTACACTCCCTCTTGCAATGTTGACACATTGCCAAGCTGAAAGGGGATAGAATACAAAAAAAAGTTATCATGTTAAAAGCCAATTTGGTAGATATTTCACCAGATTCTCATGACGCACTATTAAGGAAACATATGGAAATCAGTACGGAGAATTTTCTTTTAATATCGACTTACCAGCCTGTTTCAATGCTTCATCTTCTTTCGCATGAGATTCTAATTGGTTATTTTTGTCGTTTTCCATCTTCGTCTCGTTTTCTGAAAGATAATTTAAAAACGCACTTGACTGCATGACCAACTATTACTCGATATATCTTCCTTGAACAAATAAAGTACGTTTTCAATAATTAAACTCCAGGCCCTAGTTGTCAAAATTCCCGTATAACGCTATCCATCGGATAAACGCTATCCATTGGGCAAGTAATGGCAAAACAAACTACATTGTCCACTGCATGGATAGTGATTTATCTGATGGATAAACCTATCCAACCTTTGAACAACAAGGGGCAGAGTTTTAAGGTGACTTTATGTGAAACACTATTAATTGGTAACGCTGAAATCGTTCAATCTATTCCTAGATGTTTTTACTCCAGGTTACGTTAAGCGTTCCTAGATAAAAGTTATCTCGTTTGCTTGCAACTTAGACTTATCTGTTCTCTCTATCTTATTTTTTCTTTGACTTTGTTTAAAACAAAATGGGGGCAAAAATAAAGAAAATAAACGATTTATCAGTCCTGTAAACTTACAAGTGACTTTGGGTCTTGTAATTAAAGTGGCTTCAAAACTCCTCTACAAGCTCAAGTTTCGAGACCACGGAAAACGTAATCAAAATTCTAGAAACCTTGTCCAAACCGCCAAATTAAACAAAAGCCTGAGCTTAATTAATCAGTGAGGGAAAACAAGTATAGTAACTTTTTCTTTGAGAGAAAAAAGTTCATTCCAACCTTGGAATTGTTGCTGCTGCTGCTGTTGTTGTTGTTGCTGTTGTTGTTGTGGCATTTCTTCAGGCCTTGCCAATTCGTTCCCTTCGTATGTCAGCTTCTCATCTTCTTCAATGCCAAATTCAACAACATCGTTGCTAATTTCTTGTTTGATCCTGGTTTCGATCACTTCTGGTTTTGGTGTCGGACTCGGCTCAGGCTCTGGGGTCGGCGGCGTCTGTAAGGGACTGGGTTCTATTGCGTTAAGATCTGTGAGCTCGTTGAATCGTTCAACATCATTTGTCATCGGAATGTCAGCTATAGCCGAGAAATCGGGCATAGTATCGTCATAGAAAAAGTATTGCTCTAATAAATTTGTTGTTTCCATTTCATCGGGAAAGATGTTATTTGGAAGAAGCCAGACCGGTAAATCGCACGGCGGAGTTAAAGGAGGATATGTTGCCATTTTAGCCATCGAAGAACTTGCCTAGAAAAGTGAAAACACAGTAGAGAATTTTTAAGTTTAATTATGTCACTTTATGTTTTCGCAGAATGGAAGTATAGGGCTTTGCCTTAAGTTCCAGGGTAGATATCTAGATCACACTGGCATTTTTCTTAAAGAAGTAAGGTCATAATTAAAGCCAATTTCAACTCCGACCGACTGATTACGTTTTCACAGATTTTACTGAAATTCTACAAGAACGGCTGAGAACTGTGCAAGAACTGTAAAAAGCCCCGAAAAGTCAAAAAGGGGCATTCTTTTTTTATTTATTTGTTTTTTATTTACAACACTAGCTCTACTTACATTATATTGCTCTAATTATTTACACTATTTAAATTACAATGTCTAAACGACTTACACTGCTAACAAAAGGGGCATTATTGGGCAAAGTTGGCGCAGATTAAAGTGGATTACCTTTGGGTAAATTTGAAAAGCTTCAGTCGACTTCATTTTCAAGCTTATCTCAGTTTGTATGAAAGTGTCATTGGCAATGTTCAGAAATGATTGGTGTTTGTTGTGATTTCTCCCATAAGAGGCTGTTGCTCTACCCATGTGAAGTCAGTTAGAAGCTAACATTAACAAAACTAAATCGCAGCTACCTAGGATACCGAGACCTATCCCCTCAAAACGAGCTTTTTGGGTTGGATGTTCTTTCAAGTGTATTATTGGTGCTGTTATGATGTTACGCCTCTGGAATGTTATGACAAGTGACTCTTGGCGTGCGTTGTACAATCTAATTCCTCGACGGAAAGGAAGAAAGCACTCGCTGAACACGGAATAATTTTGTAGTTCCCAGCAACAGGAACAATTCAAAAGGTTTTTGACTAATGAGTCGTTTCTTTATTTCAATGTGTGTTTGGCTATTGCGTGCTTTACATTATATGCATAAAATGTTGTGGCGATAATGATTTCATCATATTAAAGTTAACGATCCCCACCCATCGACCTTGTTCGAGAAGAGTAAATTCTCTGGAGTCTGCCGCTTGGCCTGAAAGTATTAGTTGCATTCTTTATATAACTATGAACTAAATAATGATAGAAATACCAATATTTAAACCATCGACCATTAACAGCGAATAACACTATTTCTGGAAGATTTTCAATGAGTGGAAAATTAGTTTTTTTTTTGTTACTCAAGTCGCTCTTCGGATCTGGTTGATGTGCTAACATAAAACTTCAACGAAATTATCGAAAACTGTTTTGTTATCGTTAAGATAGTGGATGATCTTTACGAATCTGTATCGAAACTTTAATGCTCGTAGAGCGCTTTATGTTGGACCGGATGAATTTGCAGGTCCAAGCCTGCCAAATGATCTTTTTTTAACCGTGGGTTGCAGGTGAATTAGCAGGTTTTTGTCTTTGCTTTGTCCACGTTTATAGCACAAAAATAAGAAGAGTCCAGGAGATGGTACGAAACTGATCCTGTGTATATCAAAGTTATTCTTGCAATCAAGGGCTGCCGAAATCAAAGTCGAAATCGAAGTCATTCCGGATTTGAGCAAATTACGTGCTAATCACTGGCAAATGTACAATGAACATTTTTCCTCTTTCGTTTACTTGAAAACAAATAGCAGTAATGGCATGTTCAGTTTCTCAAGCTAGAAACGCCAGTCTTTATTCTCTGTAGTGTCGATCGCCATCATCTGACGGTATCTTGAAAAAAGAACGTACCACTTCTTAATTAATAAGACCTCTACTTTCATCATTAACATTACAGAGTGGAACTGAAGCTAAGGAGAAATCTGTATTCTATCTCCTTGTCTGGAGCTCTGTCTTGCAGGAGTTGAAACATCGAAAGACGAATTACGATCTCTAAAAATTTGGATACTCAGTTTCTGAGTGTACTTCGTCATTTGAAAGAGAAGAAATGGCTGCTCGCCTTTGATAGCTCAGTGGAAGTGAAATATTTCTTTCACCTTGTTCCACCTCGGAAATTTGCAATATCTGTTCCGTTTAAGCTTGGTCGACAACACCTCAAATAACACCACCTTACTATTTCAGAGCCCTAGGAACCTTATTTCATCAAAGACAAAAAGTGTTCCACGCACGACCCATGTCAGTCCACTACAAAATCTTCTACGTGGCTAAATCAGTCCCTTCTTATTGCTAAAATTCCGGTGAACGATCAAAATTGTGTTTTTCCATAGTCTTTAAACAAAAGCCTGTCAACCAGAGAGTTGAAGCTTAAGGTCTCTATTTAGTAAATACGTTATTGGACGAATTGCGAACTGTGGCCAACCCATCTAAGCTAAGTGTGACTCGGTCTTAGAATCATTGAATAATATACATTGTCAAAATCTCTAATTTGGAAGAATTTTTGTATATCCTTGGATTGTTTTCAAGGAACTGTAGGACACCCATCAAACTAAAACCGAAATATAGCAGTAATCTCTATGAATATATATGGTTATATGATGGACAACATCGAGGTAACGTCGAAAATTTGTAGACTGTTTCTCTTTTGCGTTCTGTAGGAAAGACTTGTGATAAACCTGAATGAATGAAAAACTTATGCTAAAGAAATCGTCCATGAATTACTTACCGCAGGTCTTGAGTCTTGAAGCCAATAAATTTATGCGCTTAGGTTTATTGGAATCCTTGCTGAATCGAAAGGCGGATGACTTTCACAACAGCCAGTGAAAACAGATTTGAGAAATATATAAGGATGAGTAGAACAGTTCGAAAGCTAGCTGAACAATCCGCAACTCTGGAAGTTAACTGATAAGATTGACGTTTTGCTGTTGATTTGTAACACATAACGTCAGACTGATAATGAATGAATCAATTACAATTAAAGTTATTTTAAAATCATTAATTTTTGAACGAGTTCCTGTTTACTGAGGGAAACCCCTCCAGGGCTGACACGCGAGGATGCTCACTCAAGTCTGAAAGAAGTCATTGTTTTGAAGACACGAAACTTGCCGCATCAACCTTTCTTTCACAAAGTTCGAACTGAACAATTGACTTTGAAGTCTACTGGCGCCCCAAAGTATGTCCTATTTGCTTTCGGTCGCAAATTGAGCCTGAAAGCATTCACGCAACATGGGAAAATGCCAAGCTTTTTAAGCGGATGTCTTTCGAAACTGGTGAGATGTTTGCATAGCTAATCCATATGGCATGCTAACTTGAATATATAGAAGAAAAAGCACACATTCCGGTCGCAGAAACATGACGGTAAATTTCATACACGTTCCAAGGATTCCTCTTTCTCAATGAGCCAAAGTGTGGTTATAACGTGCCTCTGCAAGACAAGTCTCAGCTCGCAAAGGAAACTGGAAGTTTAGCGGAAGAACTAGTTTATCNCCCAAAGTATGTCCTATTTGCTTTCGGTCGCAAATTGAGCCTGAAAGCATTCACGCAACATGGGAAAATGCCAAGCTTTTTAAGCGGATGTCTTTCGAAACTGGTGAGATGTTTGCATAGGTAATCCATATGGCATGCTAGCTTGAATATATAGAAGAAAAAGCACACATTCCGGTCGCAGAGACATGACGGTAAATTTCATACACGTTCCAAGGATTCCTCTTTCTCAATGAGCCAAAGTGTGGTTAAAACGTGCCTCTGCAAGACAAGTCTCAGCTCGCAAAGGAAGCTGGAAGTTTAGCGGAAGTACTAGTTTATCTGTATTAAGAGAAAGTTTCAGACCTGCCTTAATCAGCTTCTATTCTATTGTTACAAAGAGTTCCCATTCTACTGGACAAGTAACAGAACCTTAAATTTCCACCCAGATTTTGATGAGAGAATCCGGGCATTGGCGACCTTTCACGTGATCCTCATCATCTGCTTCTTCTGATCTTCATCATCCATTCCAATTGATCAACTTTTGTCTGAATGCATTAGTGGTAAATACTTGGCACACGCTGGGACTATTGTCTGATTTGTAATCACCAATTCGATCCGGTGCAATAGACCATTTCTTCATGATATGATTATTATAAAGAAAGTAACTTCATTTATTCAATTGCGGTACCCATCGGTCGGTTTTAGAACGGTTACTAGAAAATATAACTTTGAGAAAGAACACGAAGAAAAAAAGAACGCTAATCTAATTAAGATTATGATACATTGACAATGTTGCCAAAAAAAAATTTCAGCAAAACTTAATTAAAAGCTTTACTTGAAACTCTCACATTCAAACGTTCGATTTCAACATACATTTTCTTAGGAAAAAAAAATAGAAAATGACTGGAGTGTTTCAGTGACCTGCATGGTGTAAACAGGAAAGAATGTTTTTTTTTTTTCTTTTTTTCTTTTTTTTTTCAGCACTGGTCATGCGCATGAATTTGTTTTAGGTACATGTATGCCAGTAGGACATTTCTTTTTTTTAAATTGTCCCTCCCTCCTTCAAAAGTCAAATGGTTATCCCCCGCCCAAAATGCTGCGTCATAACAGTTGTCATAACAACAAGACTGGTTTAAATTGCGCATCTAGATGTTGCCAAGATTTTATTCCAATATTTGTGTACTTTGCGGCAAAATGCTTTCATTATTTCGTTATTTTTAAACTTTGCCCGGCTGATTAGTGTATTATAAGGCAAGAAGACAAGGCAAACGCTGTCAGTGTGAGCAAAATGTCGCACCTTGTGTAATCATACCCAAGCTTGACCTGTTAAATTAAAACTCGTTAATGGCATGAAATTGCATGGTTTTAACTTTGGTGTGTGGATCAAACCCTGGTGCGTGACCATTCATATAAAATTCTCAAACTTGTAGATAATTCATCAAATTAAAACAAAGAAAATAACAACCGTGAAGGAGGTTTGGATACTAGGAGTCAATTAGCATAGATTTTGACGATTGTACTTCTCCGTTTACTCCCTAGTTTTTGTTTCCGTTTAGAATATATATCAAACACTCGAGAAAGTGTTTCATCGGCTATCCAAACACCTCGAATTTTGTCAAAAATACACCAGTGCGCGTCGTGTTTCCAAATCTCCTCTCGGTGTTTGGATATTCCGATGAAACACTGTCGTGTCGTGTCGTGTT